ACATATGTTTCATATGTTTGTTGTTGTTTGATTTATCATCTACGGGTTTATGTCGAATTAATTTGATGGCCTGCTCCCAGTTGGCTTGTTAGCTCAATTGGTAGAGCGCTGCACTAGTATCGCAGAGGTCAGTGGTTCGAATCCCGTACAGGCCTGAAATTTTTTTCAGGTCTGATTTTCAAAGATGAATTTGTTTCCTACAACTCAGAACAAGGTCTTGATTCTTTCTGGTATGGGTGCATTGGAGAGAAGCCGAGTATTCCAAACTGTGGGAAACTTTTAGAATGCAGCTCATACTTTCCCAGGTCAGTCATGTATCGAAATAGGGTTCTCTGATAATAAAGACATCTTAAGCAACAATATGCAAGGTGAGATCGACCTTAATTTCTTATCGGATGGCATACAATGGTATCAAGAATCAGGATGGTCCTGTAGAAGACTCTTTAACAAAGGAACTTCTGGTATCTTGCCAGTATGCCCACGCAAGATACCAAAGCTGCTTTTAAATCAGAAACTGAAAAGAAAACAGAAGAGGCTAGTCAAGAAGAGAAGAGGAAGAAAGAAGTACAGGAAGAGCTTCCGTCATCAAGGAAGAAGGAGAGACTTGAGAAAATGGTTCAGGAACTTACTAAAGACACAGGTGCACTCGCTACAGAGGCTGAAACGAAAAAAGGAAGGGATTTGTTGGTAAAGTCAAATGCCATGAGTTCAAAATCCCGTGAAAAACGTAAAGAGATTGAAAATGAAGAGAAGACTATCGATGGTCTGCAAAAGAAGCTGAAGCTAATGTAAAAGTGGATTTGGCCTGTTTGATAATTAATTTAAATCAAGGTCAGTGAAAAATGTTTTCAGGTCAGTGAAAAGTCAGAGAAAAGTCAGGGACTTTTTTGGGTTCTAATGAGTGGCAACCCTGTGCTATGACGATTGAAGAACTTGGAAAGTGATTAACGGTCAATGTTGAAAAACAATGGTGTAGACTTCAAAGATTAACGATCTGTCAGGAAAAAATGAGTCAAATGTTAGGAAATTGGTCAAAGCCCGTACTCCTTAATTCTTCTCAAGCGCAACTAAATCGTGCAAGCTTTTCCTTATGGCCAAAGTACTCCCAGGTGCAACAGTTAATAGACGCTGAAGGACTGGGCACTAGTTTTTACCTAAACGTACTAATGTCAGTAACTGGCGAGAAATGGAGTGTTGGAAACTGTACGATACGTTTATTAGTCTTAAAATTGGTGACATTATAAGTGATTTCGTTTGTCTATTACGTAACCAAACAACATATGGTTTCGAGATAATTAGGCATAGATTCTATCATTTCCAGATAATGATCAGTCCACTCCTGATTTGGCGGCAAATTTGGCCTTATTTGTGAAGGTAATCAAAGATACAAATGGGATGGAGCCTTAGTTTCCTTTATTTTTAAATTTGTCATGTTTCGAGTAGATCCGAGTTAATCAGAGCTAATCCGACTTGGACTGGGAGTCCGAGTTGATCCAGTTCAACTTTTGTACCTGCCTAAAACACAGCGCTGGCAACTCAAATTAGACAAAACAGTCAAATACTTGTTTTGACGGCAAGTAGATTTTGAATTGATAGTTCTGTTTTCAAATGGGCTCCTGGAAATTAATTGAACACCCTTTGGCTCCCATGAGTGACTAAGAGAGAATTTCTCCTTACAATATTAATAGAATAGCAAGCAGACAAGGGATGAGAATAATGAAAAATATCGAATGGAAAGCTCAAGGACTGGACTAGCAGCTAGGGACAGATGGAGGGTCGGGTTGTTTTCAAGCCCAGGTTACGGTGTAGATAAGGCCAGTTAACCTCTGAAGTGGATACTGTTTGTTCATGAAACTTAGGTATAAGAAAACTCTTTTGCCTCACGGCATCAGGGCAGGGTTTACTATGGAACTCCACCAGAACCTGATCTTGGAGTTGTTATTGCGGAGGAAAATGTGGAGGAAGAAGATAAAGACACACCAAGAGTAAGTGCTTTTTGAAATGATGGAGTGGTATTTAATTTATTAAAAGAAGAAATACACCATAGTCTTAGTTTGGCCATAATTTTTTTCTTCAAATAAATTATTATCTGATCCGGGGATGATAAGTAATAAATTTACCCACACTAGTCAATGGAATAAAAACATTTGACGAAATTGAAACCTCAAAACATAAAAGAACAAAACAACTAAAGTTTGGATAATGTGCTTTGAACCTGTGTCCCTCAGGCACTGTACTTATTCAATCAAGATTTTGTAATTTCCCTGAAATAACAAAGCCTTTAAAAAAGTTGCCTGTGTTATGCCTCGTTAAAGAAAATTGATATTTACAATGATACAGTTACGAATTACGATAAAGATTGTTATTTTACATGTAAATAAATGCAATAATGAATCAAAAGTTGAGACACGCACTTTATTTTTTTTTCTGAGTATATGATTAATTATACAAAGTCTGTTCAGTTTTTTGTCAACAAAACTAATTTACTCCTAATTTGCAACAAAACTAAATTAATTCAAATAAACACGCTATACTGGAAAATAGTTTTATACGTATACCCATGGGTATATTATGAGACTATTTTCCAGTATAGCGTGTTTATTTGAAGGCCTGCAGGCCTTCAATCGCCAAGCCTTTCATTTCAATCACATACAATGATGTAGGCATTATGCGGTTTCTGAGATGATTTTTAAAATATAAACTAAGCTCCTACTTACGTATATGAGCACGATCCTTCGCAGTAAAGCACTATTTGAGCAATAGTGAAAATCAGACCTGAAAAAAATTTCAGGCCTGTACGGGATTCGAACCACTGACCTCTGCGATACTAGTGCAGCGCTCTACCAATTGAGCTAACAAGCCAACTGGGAGCAGGCCATCAAATTAATTCGACATAAACCCGTAGATGATAAATCAAACAACAACAAACATATGAAACATATGTGTGAACTGCGGTTATGAGACGTATATGAGCACGATCCTTCGCAGTAAAGCACTATTTGAGCAATAGTGAAAATCAGACCTGAAAAAAATTTCAGGCCTGTACGGGATTCGAACCACTGACCTCTGCGATACTAGTGCAGCGCTCTACCAATTGAGCTAACAAGCCAACTGGGAGCAGGCCATCAAATTAATTCGACATAAACCCGTAGATGATAAATCAAACAACAACAAACATATGAAACATATGTGTGAACTGCGGTTATGAGACGTATATGAGCACGATCCTTCGCAGTAAAGCACTATTTGAGCAATAGTGAAAATCAGACCTGAAAAAAATTTCAGGCCTGTACGGGATTCGAACCACTGACCTCTGCGATACTAGAGCGCTGCACTAGTATCGCAGAGGTCAGTGGTTCGAATCCCGTACAGGCCTGAAATTTTTTTCAGGTCTGATTTTCACTATTGCTCAAATAGTGCTTTACTGCGAAGGATCGTGCTCATATACGTCTCATAACCGCAGTTCACACATATGTTTCATATGTTTGTTGTTGTTTGATTTATCATCTACGGGTTTATGTCGAATTAATTTGATGGCCTGCTCCCAGTTGGCTTGTTAGCTCAATTGGTAGAGCGCTGCACTAGTATCGCAGAGGTCAGTGGTTCGAATCCCGTACAGGCCTGAAATTTTTTTCAGGTCTGATTTTCACTATTGCTCAAATAGTGCTTTACTGCGAAGGATCGTTCTCATATACGTCTCATAACCGCAGTTCACACATATGTTTCATATGTTTGTTGTTGTTTGATTTATCATCTACGGGTTTATGTCGAATTAATTTGATGGCCTGCTCCCAGTTGGCTTGTTAGCTCAATTGGTAGAGCGCTGCACTAGTATCGCAGAGGTCAGTGGTTCGAATCCCGTACAGGCCTGAAATTTTTTTCAGGTCTGATTTTCACTATTGCTCAAATAGTGCTTTACTGCGAAGGATCGTGCTCATATACGTCTCATAACCGCAGTTCACACATATGTTTCATATGTTTGTTGTTGTTTGATTTATCATCTACGGGTNATACATCCCTACAGACCTGTTTCGTGGTTGCCCACTCATCAGGGGATTTTAATGGCAGAATAATGCGATACCATCGCTTATATATTACACTAATTGCTAATTAACATGGTTTATGCAGTGTGAAAAGTGTCAAGTCAGCTGTTGCGTAGGAGTGAAACAGGTCTGTGGGGATGTAAATGTAGTTGTTTTTTCCGACTACCACACATTATACCCGCTATACTATTTGTATCGAGCACTGTTGTTTCACGGACACCAAGTTTAATCCCTCTCTCTCTCTCTCTCTCTATCTCTCTCTCTCTCTCTCTCTCTCTCTCTCTCTCTCTCTCTCTCTCTATATATATATATTTTTTTAATTTTATCCACAAAAAATTAATAAGCAAAGGCCCCACAGAATTTCTAGGAGTGACCGTAATCGTTTGTTGTGCGCCCAATTAGAATGAATAACAAAAACCTTTGGTTTGTTAAAAAAGTGAATACCAAATATATTTGCAAAAATTTCTGTAAACAATACATTCTCAGTAGAAATAGGCTTCTATCGGAATGTTCACAAACATAGGTACTGGATTTGATTATCCTTCAATTGTTCTCCCACTTAGCCAAAAATTAACGGATCTATACGCTAAAGAAGTCTTCTACCATTTCTTTCTAATCGCTGTTTTTTCTAGTGAATTTTCTGTAAAACTTGATTTATTTATGCATAAACTAATATTAACCGTTTAAATTTAAACGGCTTTGCTCAAATTATAGTAAACCATATAATTCACTAAAGCGAACGTGGACTACTCAATTATCTGGATACGATGGTTACCAAGTTCAGCAACAACAAATCGCCCAGTACTGAGAGCAGCGAGTGCCCATGGAACACTGAATTCTCCTAAATTTAAACCTCGTGTTCCAAACTTACCTACAAACTTTCCATTCAGTTCAAATACTTGTATTCTATGATTTGAAGAGTCACAGATCAAAAGTTGTCCGGACTTGTTCAGTAACAAACAGCTTGGGTTCTCAAACTCCCCGTCCCCTGCTCCATGTTTTCCAAACTTGTACTGAAAGTTTCCATTCCTGTCAAAAACTTTGATACAATTTTCACTAGTGTCAGACACTATGAGATATCTATCATACTGAATACAGTGGAAAGGAAACGTTAGAGTGCCCTGTCCACCTATTTTCCTTAGAAACTTGCCATCAGGAGAGAAGATCTTAATCAGTTTGTTATTCGCATCAGCAACAATGATGTTCCCATCAACGTCTACAGATAAACCATAGGGATTATCAAGCTGACTATCAAGGTTTCCTTTCCCACCAAAGCCTCCCACGTACTCACCTTCGCCACTGAAAATTTGGATTCTATAATTAAAACTGTCTGCCACGAAAATATTGCCATTGTTATGAATTGCTATTCCCCGAGGCTTGTTGAATTCTCCCGCTTTGTCACCCTTTTTACCAAATGATCTCAAAAATTTTCCTTTACCACTGAAAATTTGAACTCTGTGATTCCCGAAATCAGTTACAGCGATATCGTCCCTAGCATTCACTGTCACACCCCAAGGCAGACTAAATTTTCGAAGAGACGAACCTTTCTCGCCAGAAGATAAAACAGGTCTAAACTGAAATGGTTTTACGAGGACAAAAAATTGACTGCCCCGAACATGTTCCCCGTTTACCTTTATTGTCAATTTACATCTTCCTTCATTTCTAGGAGAAAAGCTGATTTGATAGCGTCCATCGTTATTGTCAATTATTCGCAAGTCCGTGGCGCAGTCTCGTCCTTGTTCATCCGTGATCTCTACCGTTACATTGTCACGTTTATTGTAACACTCTTTTCCTTTGAAGTTCCTTGTAGTCAAAGTAAACTGCGCTTCACGGTTAGCAATTACTTCTTCAAGTCCTTTTCCTGCAGCAACTGACTGACTTGCTTTCGTTTGGTGAGCCATTTGCAACATTCCGATTTCTTCGGCGTTTACGGTGTTGAGCATCTTTGGGTTTTCCACAAAATTTAAAACAGGAAGCTTTTGCGGGTATCGGTCCTTTGGCTGGCTTTGGGTAGCTCTCTGAAAGATTTTCTCTAATGATTCCTTCCCCTGAACGACATCTGCGTTTGTGCTTCGCTTTAGAATTATATCAGCTTTTTCCAGCGATGTTTCGATGATCTTTATTTTACATTCTATCTCCGTCTTTTGCGTTGTTAGAGCTTCGAGAAATCTCTTCGTTTCATCCTCCACCGCTGTAAAGACATTCTGTTTCTTTGCTTCAATAGTTGCGATCAAATTGTCCACAAACGTCTGCACTCCTCTCTTTATTTCTTCGATTTGTTGTATCAATTTAGCGCAGTCTTCATTCAGTTGACCCATAGTGTTAATCTTTTCTTGTATATCGCGCTTCTGTATTTCAATTTGTGATTTTATTTTCGTCTTTTGTCTTTCCACTTCTTCCTCTAGGTGCACTATGGCGTGACCCGCATGATCTATCAAAACACAGCTTTGGCAAGCTGCCGTTTCACAGTTGTTGCAGAAATATTTAAGTTCTTCTTTCTCGTGCCGCTGTATAGAGCAGTACAAGGGTAGTTTCAACACATCTGTGTAATCTTTTTCTTGAAAGTCCTTGAGCGCTAAAACACGGTGATCTTTATTGCCTTGAATGATGTTATGTGCAATTAGGCACCCTTCACACCAAAACATGCAACAATGGAAACAATAAGAACTCTTGAAACTTTTCTTTTGACAGTTTCCACATTCAACTTGGCTGGTTTTGCATTCTTTAATGGCCAGTACATCAATCAAACCGTTCAGATAAAAACTGGTGGGAAGGTCTTTCAGATCGCCACTGTCGGGCACTCTGCTAACAACTTGGCATTTCGGACATCTGATTGTTTCTCCGCCATGGCTTGTTTTGTGCCATTTTTTTAAGCATTGCAGACAGAAACTGTGAAGACATGGGAGGTGTTTTGGATCCGTGTAGATATTTGTACATACTGGACAAGACACTTCTTCACGAAGATTGTGAAGGAACGTTTTGATATCCATAGTTCGCCTGTCTTCTTTGGGAGGGAGCGAAATTAGTAATTTGAATTCTTTGAATTCGACTCGAAACAATGAAGTCTTGTGGCTTTGTTTATTTTCAGAGCTATTCTTGGAATCAAGTATTTGTCAAGATAATCTTTTCATTGCATCAACCAATCGGGAATCCTTGTCTTGAAAGCATGTCACGGAACACTGTGTCGTGAATATTGATTCCCAACAATGTAACCTTCAGGTATTTAGTAAATTAATACAGCAGCTACAAATCTTTTTTTTTGCAGTTAACTGATATTGCTTTCACCCCGACGTCACGGGTATAAGATGGACTACGAGTTTTCTAGATCTTTTCTTCAATTCTTTTTTATTTTACCTTTTGTTGTCCGACAAAACTAAACTATTTCATAAATAGCCGCTTGCTCGCCCCTACATTTGCAGCTTCTGATAATGTCTACTTGTAGCTTATAAATCGCTGCTTTCAATCTAGCGTGACTGGTGAGTTAGACGACGAGCTCCTTTTCTTTATCAGCGTTTTCGCTCCAGTGACCGATTTATATAACAAATTTTGCAAGAAGATGCGCTTTCTCACCACCACATTTCTTCCTTTCTTCCTTCCACATTGTAGCTTGTGGGGCTTTAATGATTTCCCTGCTATTTGAACTTGCGGGGTTTTAAGGGTTTGCCTTTTGTTTTTCTTGCATTTTGCCGTTCGGGTTTATATTTTTGGCTTTTTCTTTTTTTTTTTTTTTTTCGGCGTTTGTAGAAAAAGAAAGTGAAAAAAGATTCCAATGGCCCAGGTAAAGCTTAATTAGAAATTGATGTCTTTTTTTTCCAGTTTTCCTGTTTTGTGTGGAAGGGTCTATGCGACCTCGTTCCAGGCTTCTCTTCTTTTGCCCCTCAGGAGGTAAAAAATTGAGAGACGCGGGAAATTGGAAGTTACGTTTTTGTCTATCCCAGCCTTTGTGAGACTGGGGAGGAGAGGGGTGGGGAACTAGCTTTTTTTTTCCAGCGAGCGTATCTCAAAAACAGGAGGAGGTTTTCATCTACACTTCGACGATTTTTATCATGTAACAATGTTTTGATCGGCTTGCAAAACTCTGACCATATTCTCAAAATGATTTTTAACTTCTTAATAGCTCGAGCTCGGTACATATCGATGTCGGAGCGCCTTAAGAAAGCTACTGTACTTTTATTTTCGGGCAAAAACTGAGTAGGAAACAATCCAAATGCTCCGCTATTCAGAGGCGGATCCAGGAATATTTGATTAGGGGGTCCAAACTTTGGTTCAGAGAGGACTGTTGGACTCTTTGAGGCAAATTACTTCTCCCCCACACCCCCTCCCACAAGTCGCGGTTGCACGTTATAATTCCTTGGCCGCTTACCGTTTATTTGGATTCATTAAAAAAATTAGCCAGTTAAAAGTGATATACGATCCTGTCTCAAAGTTGTAAGCGTCAATTTTGATGGGGGGGGGGTCTGGACCCCCCGGACCCTCCCCCCTGGATCCGCCACTGCTATTGAACCACCAGATTCCCTTCCCTGACATTTCCGCCTATGTGAGCAGAGTTCATCAAATACCGCGCTTTCGTCATTGCAAAAAAGGAAATGATCTGCCGCCTTTTGTTTATGTAAACTAGGCGTTGTCCCAACAAGAAAAGAATAAGGTCTAAAAACACAATTTATACAGATATCTAGTTTCTTTTCTTTTTTTTTTCTGTGCCACTGCTGTCTACGTTAAACCCTCTCCCTTCCCTCCCCTGCCTCTCTAACTTTGTCTTGATTTATGTAAACTACCAGACACTAAATTGTTGTATAACTGGGTTTTCGTTTATGGCATGATGAGAGCCCAAATGTTTGTTGCAAGCTGGGCATGCTGTTTATGGCCTTCTTTCTTCTCAAATTGTTTTCAGTTCTTTCTCGCCATCAGCCGAAAATTTTACCCTTATTTTTTTGGGGGGGGATTTGACGCAATGTGTAGGGCCTAGTTGTGCTGTTACTTCCCAAAAAAAGCTGCGAAGGAGCCAATTTTCAGCATTTCCTGTATTATTCATCGTTTTATGCGCCTTGTACTCCATAGAAAACGTTTTGTGGCCTTTAATTCTGCCCTGCGTTTTGCTGTCTAATTTATCAGGAAAGACAATGATAAGATACTGAAGATAGCACTTCTGATGGAAGCGGCCAAAAGAGTCACGTTAGGACCTGAAACTCTTCCTTCCATCTACTTCTACAGTGTACCTAATGCTCACTCAAGCGGCTGTAAAGAACAAGTTCATTTTCACTTATTACAATAGAATCCCTTTTTCCTTAAAATTTTTTTTCCGGAATAAAATACCGCATAATACCCTTTCATAAAGTTTGTTAGTTGCGTTTTCTGAATATATATATCTTATTAGACGTTTTGTTGTGTACTATCGCTGAGTATTTTTACGAGTTGTGCCGTATTTTGACGATCCCGTAGGGCGAGTCAAAATACAAATAACGAGTAAAAGTACTCAGCGATACTGCACAACAAACGTCTAATAAGTTATTTATTATCCAACACGCCAAACTGTGCGGTCGAATTTCGCGGATGTTTATTTACGGGGAGTGCGTGACAAAAGTAGGCGAAGCGGAACGGAATTAGCGCGTTGTTGTGCTGCTGTTTCTATTTTCTTCATTAAATGAAGAAATTTTCGGTCGTCAAGCTGTTTTTCTTCGTTCGATTCATGTAATGAACTTGGATCTATATTTGCCAGCCATTCTGACTCTTCGTCGTCGGAAATATGATTCAAATTGTCCGCCATTTGT